CAGCTAGGAAGGGACATTGAGGAGACCTCCATTCTGGGCATATCATATCCTCATTATTTTCAATGGTAAAAATCTCACTCTTCTTCTGGAATGACTATTTGATTTGAAGATTTGCTCTAGCAAAACACACATAGCCAATTCTTTAGGACAAGGACTATTTCGTATTATGGAAGTTTTATCCTCATATGTAGAATCCATTAATGATTAATAATGTTGATCTTTGATCAGGATCACTCCTTAAGTAAATAAAGATTAAGAGTAATGTATAAAAGAACTTTGGACCTGACTGATATTTTTCATAGAATTTACATTTTAAGAGCTTTTGCTATTAAAGTTGATTAGAGTGGTGCAGGATATAATAATTATTCCACTTTATTAGAAAATAGAGCTTCTTGTAATAAAAGTCTCACAAATTTACATAAAAGAATCTTCATGAAAATCTATCTTTACTGAAGTCAATGAATCAGCRTTTCCTCTTGGGGTCTTTTTATGAATATTTACCTTGCATGAAAAGACACCAGGACTCAAATAATTATTGCACATCTTTTAGGAATAATAAACAGATAATACAGGGTAGCAGCTGCAGCAAAAGATTATGTGAACCTAAATTGTATAATAGACCTGAGATTTTGCAAGTTATATATGAATAAAGGCAATATACACGTACACTTAGCACCTGCATGCAAAAGTTTCCTATGAGTCTACAGGCACACATGCCCTATATTCTCTCTAAATATCTTGTCTCAGTACAGACCCAAGAGAATAATGTCATTTGCACATCATAACCTTGGCAAGCATGAGGTTTATTCTGAAGAAAGACAATAAGTATTGGAAATTACTGATATATCTCTCAATCATATTTTACAGGAGAAGTATCACCTAGATCTTCACAAAGTAATCATTCATTGTAGAGTGGGATTTCACATGAAGGAAAAAATCTATTTTTGTTTCCCTGATATCACAGCAAATAGGTAAATCTGATTTGGTTTGTGCTGTTATGGAAAGAAGCTGAAGTTACATGAAGAACAGAATATTGAAGGTTTCTCTGTGAGGAAAATCATATAAATTAGTATGTAGAAACTAGCAATATCTTCCCTTATTGCCCCTCTCTTCCTCCTTCAAAAAAGGCCAAGGAAATGCATGCTTGTCACAGAGAATCTGCCTAGGAATTCTTTTTTTTTTTTTTTTCTGGAATTACTTTAATCATACTAAATTTCTCTCACTGTCTTTAGCTCTGTGAGAGGAGCACGAKGGAAGGATAAGTGTGAGTTTGCAAGTCATAAAGAAGAACCTATTGTGAGGGCAAAGACTGTATGACAGGGAAGCATACAGTTCTTATTATGCCCCAAAGAGTAATTCTGTCAATTGACAAAACTTTTACTAGCCAGTTCAGCATCCAAACAGGATTTTGGTAATAACAAAAGATATTCCAAATTAGTTTTGCAGGTTATGTATACTCATGAAGTGTAAATTCAACATGATTAATTGCTACAGTCAGGATAGGTTCCTAGGTAGGAAGTGACAGTACGTGTTGCTTGTGTTAAAGGTGTTAAAGTTCTCGGGGGTTTTACTCCATTTTCTTCACTGAGCTGAACAGGGATAACAACATAACTCACAGTTTTGGAGAACTGACTAGATAAAAATGAAAATGAGAGTTGTAGTGTTTCTTCAGACACAGCTCAACAGAACATTTCAAAGAGGATATCRCTTTTAGTACAGCTAAAAAAATGTTTCCCAAATGTTTTGAGTTGCTCGTGGCTTCATGCTGTTCCGTCTGTCTCCAAGACAAAATGTTGAATAAATGTTGAATGAAGTCTCCGTTCCCAACATCCAGAACGACTAATTTCTCCTTTCTTGTATCAGATACATACTTTTGTCTCTGGCAACAAGTCTCATAGGAAATGTATGTCTTTTCTCACTCCTTTTTTACTGGAAATGAGCAAAATGGGTTGATCTCAAGATGTACTCGCCCCTTCTCTGTCACTCTTGACATGGAAGGTTACTGTGAGTCTCAAAATGGCCACCATGATGCCGGCCCCCCCACACTATGCTGCTAAAAATGAGATTAAAAAAAAAAAGAAAAAGGAAAAATAGATAACACATTCTGTTCAAATATTTTGAGTTCAGTGGAGAAGACTTCCTTTGATTTCTTAAAAAGAAAATAGAAAATGTGTCATCTCTTGAGACCACCTTGTGCGAAGCCRGACACAATTCTCCTGCTGTATCCACACATAGATTTGAGTATAGAATATCTATATTTGGGTATGGATATATAGAATACAGAGAATAAAGTATATCCACACTTGGATATAGATTGTGCATTAATAACAGGGCCCAGGGCTTCCAGAACAAATACTTAGCTTGTTCACCTATATCAAATGTTATTAAGCACTTTTTCTTTTTTTTTTWWWAAACTCAGTATTTTGCTAAAATTATTGTAAGTTACAAATAGTCATTACCCAATAAGTTGCTAGTACAGGGAAATATGAACAGAATTAGTATCAGCTCAAGTCTTCTTTCCACTTGATAATCTTTGCTTTCCAAAAATGTAACCATAATTTCACTAGAGATGGTTACGCTATGGATTAGAGAATTATCTACAAGAAATAGAATTTCTGAGTTGATGGTAGAAATGTTACGATCATCAGAGAGTATTTAACCTTTTAAATGAAGGGGTTCATAGAAATTTTGTTCAAGTAGCTTGTTTAAAATATTTAGAAACTTGTAGAAAACAGTCCCATACATTTTAGCTGCGTTGGAACAGCTCACATTGATCTCTGACTAAAAGATTTTCCCACTTTCATTGTCATAATCATCATTCTGTTACATGACAAAACTTCACATTTTAAATAACACTTCAGGCCTGGTCATCTGACTTCAGTATTTCACTATGAGTCACATCATTTTCTGAACTAGTTTTAACAAGTCTGTGGTGGAATTATGTGTTTTGCTATTTTAAAAAGGGTTTTTTTTATTATTATTCTTTCCATTGGGCCTGGAAATTTCTCTCTCAATATATTGTTTGTAAAGGAGGATGAGAAAAATGGATATAATTTCATCTATCTTGTTATTAAAAATAGGAAAAACATCTCCATCAACAGAGGTGATATAAGATATATCATTATTGTAATAGTATTTCAGAAACCTTACAAAAAAGATGGGAATATAAAACTTTCTCTAMGAATCTTTGAAATGACAAGTTGTTAATTCTCTGATTTATTTCGTGAAGACACTTTGGTGCTTATTTTAATAACAATTCTTTTTGAGTGAATTGAGGAGATGCTCTCAGGAGAAGGTGGAAAGGAGATAGAGTAAAAACAAAATTACGGGATCACAGAACAGCTGGGGTTGGATGGGACCTTTGGAGGTCACTTGGTCCAACTGCCCTACTCAAGGAGGGTCACCTTAAGCAAGTTGCTCAGGACCCCATCCAGTTGGGTTTTGAATATCTCCAAGGAGGAAGATGTCACAGCTTCTCTGGGCAACCTGATCCACCCTCAGTCACCCTCACAGGAAGGATTTTTTTTTGTGTTCTAGTGGAATTTCCTTTGTTTCAGTTTGTGTTCACTGCAAACAAGCAGAAAGGTCAAAGGCAGTGAAGAGAGAGCTCTGAATCATTGACTCTCTGCCCATAAAGACTGAGGATCCTTTTTTTTTTTTTTTCTTTTTTTTTCCCTTTTCTTTTCAGCAGAAACCAAGACAAATTTCAAAGATAAATTGTGAGGGTTTGCCAACCAGCTCAAAAACCAGGCAAACTCTCTGCCCCCAACACATGGAAGTCCTTCTCTCAAAATTCTCTTAGTATTTTTCAAACAACCCGTTAAGCATTTGCTAGTAATTTTTGGCAAGCACTTATTTATTTATGTACTCATTTTGTTGCTCTTAGAGTCTTAGAGACTAGAGTATAATTTTAAAATGGCAAATGAAAAATAAGTTGTATTAATGGAAATGCAATTATCATTCATAAAATTTCTTATTTATATTTTTAAATCTATAATTTATATTTTTAAACCCAAACTTGTGAAATAATTATGAAAATGTTCCTGATAGCAAATGGAGGTCTTAGTAATAAAAATTCCTTCTTCCATTGTAATAGAACACATACTGTTATTATTGGTAGTAAGTTATGKTTTTTTATGTGAATTTCTAAAATAATTCTGAAAAAAAAATGTATTTTCATTAAAGGTTTTCTATTTCAAAGCCTAACACAGAGGAAATGATAGTTAATTGTGTTACATATGCTTATTTCAACATTGAAACATTAATTCAAATTCATCTTCATGACCCTATAATAAAAAAGACTTGTTTGTGCTAATAGAACTTTTTAAATTTCTATATGTTCTGCCTCAAAAGAAAATTAGTAACCTGTTGCAGACACTTTAGCTCATATTAAGTGAATTATCTAGGATGGTAACTTTTTTGGTCCAAGAACTTAGAGATGTGAAAGATGTAGGAAACTGGCCACTGAATTTAGACTTCAAAAAGATTCAATCTATCTTCTAAGTCAAATAAAACTGATATGAATTTTGATGCTGGGCAAATGCTCTCTTGAAGTGTGTTGCCTTATGTTTTTCAATAGTCCTTTATGAAATTCTCAGTAACTTATTAGCTGATGTCCTTCTGGTTGTTGCTGTGCCCAGCAGTTCAGATAGAAGTTATGCTAGTGGCTGCAAACTGTGGAATGTGAGATTTAAATGAGGATGACTGCATAATGACCAAATACCATCTGTTAGCATCCCAAATAGTCTAGAAAACACACACCAGAAGCCTCATTTGCACAATGTCAGTGTTTCCTCAAATTCACGCAAACCCAACAGTTTCCAAAGCAACATCGTTTTTTCTTTCATTAGTCTTAAAGAATAATTAATGCTTATCTAGTCCATGCACTATATCAAAAGCAGATCGGACAGCTCAATACATTTTTGTTCATCARCACTACACGATCTATGCAAATAAAAGAGAATGTTATCTGGCATGCAAATACTTATACCCTTTCAATGTCAACGGATTACCTCCTCAGAACTGAGCGTTTCATTTTCTGGAATAGGCACTATGGGATGACTGGGCTGCCAAGCCAAGATATCACAGGTTGGAGAGAGCATGAGGTTAAAAACAAAAAAAAAAAAAAAAATCAGTTGTCAGTTCAATTTCAATATAAACCGTTGCAAAGTTTAATAGCAAAAGCAAAACTCTCAGCTGTGCGAAGGGTAGTGAAACAGTGACTTCCTATTTGCTTTCAACAGGGTTTGTAGCCCTACTAGTATTTTTCTGTATGAAAATCTATTTCAAAGTATAGCTTGTTTTCTTTTTTACCATACACTCAAAATAAAAAGAGTGGAGGAAGAAGAAATCATTTACTAACCTGGAAAAAACAGCTTGAGTCAAAATCAGAGCAAGGTCAAGTGAAAATCAAAGCTGATGTACACATATAGGAGATAACGCACATTAAGTAATTTAAAATTATAGCCTTATTTCCATCACTTTGAATTTTTGTCTTCTTAAATCTCCCCAAAAGCATTCTCCTTAATCTTAAATTTCAGAGACATAAATCATACAGTCATTTAACTGAAAATGCCATACAGCAGTAATTAGTATGTGTAGAAAGGAATTTTACRTCTTGGTAATTTTCCGTTTTTTTAGTATTATATGATTTGCATCGGAGTAATGAAGTGTGATGGATGTGACTCAAGCGTAGACYGAAATCGCACCAATTTTAGCAAGGTTTTAATCAAAACACAGGCAAATAGATGTCAGGACTTACGCAGTCCATGTTGTGATGTTTTAATATTCAATGTGAAATAGACACATCATCTTTTAGAGCAAGTGCTTCTGAAAATATTTGGTATTTTAGAAATATGGATTGAGAAATGGCTGGAAGAAACCAGCATAACCACCAGTTTAGCCCATGGACCTGTGTGTCACCTTGTTGCTGCAGTTCAGCACATCACATCGAATCACAGGAGATGTTTTACAGACTCAGTGGGAGATAAACACCTCATACTCCAACCCCGTATCCTGCAGCTGCTGAGGCTGGGTAATCCTCAATGAYTCACAAAGTTCCAGCGACATGCAGGGATATCTTGGCAAGGTTCATTTCATGGAAGTGAACTCTAGAAATGAATTACTTTTTGCCTCACTAGGATATGGCATACCCGTTTTCCAGGAAGAACAATAAAAGTTAATCACAAAGAGAACAGATAATATATTAATCATTTTCAGTTTTCTTTCTAAGCTATCTATCTGAGTTGTCCACTCCTTGCATGAATGAAAAGATCATCAGTCAGGTAGACATCTGAGAATGCAAAAACTGTTTCTCTCAAATTGCATACAGGGTGCTCAATGAAAAATGCACTTTTATTGTGTTATCTGGTCCTAGTTTTGTTTCCTCATTGTCTCTGTATCCCCCTGAAATGTCTCTCCAAGTCTTGATTCTACCTTATGTTTTCTGTTGAGTATTACAGACAAGGGAGAGGCAAACAAGAACKTAACTGATTAATGACAGGAAAAAAAAAGGCAATAGTGGTTTAAGATGGGAGGAAAAACTGAATGACATAGTCTTCTGATATTTGCTTTTACAAGACTTTAGGCTTTTCTCATGTAAAAGCCTTCAAAAATGGTCATAGAAGACTATGTACAGTCTACTGGTTGGATATTTGGAGGCCTGGTTTTGCAATGACTTGCTTAACAGTCATTTCTGGCTAGATTTACAAAAGATTTTAAGAAGCATTTCTGTGAATATAGAGCACACAAGCACAGCCCTGCAAACCTCCTCAGGAAATAACAGTCCTACAGGCCCCAAAGCCCAGAAATTGTCTTTTTGCCTTGCCTTTTTTTTTTTTTTTTTTTTTTTTTTTTTTTCTTAGCTCTGCCTCTGAGCAGCTTTGCAGGAGATGAGTGACTTGGTCTGCATGTTCAGCTGAGAACATGAGAGCTGGGTTTACCATCAGTTGTTTCAATCGAGCAACAACATGTTCCGACATGAGTAACTCTGTGGAAGAAAGTTTTCAGTGGAAGGGCTTGCCTGCCCTTCCACAGCTTAGTCAATAGGAGCTATAGGACCTTACTCCTTCCTCCCTGGTTTTTCCTTACAATTTTTGTGTTCTTGAGTGGACATTACTCCAGTCCCACAAGCAGGATGGAAAATGCTGTTCAATGCACTAGTCTTCTGTAGCTCAAAGCAAAAGGGCCTCACTCGTTCAGAGGAAAGGGGGCAATTTGAACCACTGCAGGCTTAGAAGGGTATTCAACCCAGGTCTCTCACTGTCAGGCCAAGGACCGAAGAAGGGCATGCACGGTGCTTAGCTCAGAGCACACTAAACATTACTAAAACTAAATTAACAGAGCATTTAGCCTTAGACTTTAAACTCAGCCTCCTACCTGAATCACAGAACTCAGGGACCTAAACAGAACAAAAATTTTCCCAGAAAGTTGCTTCTCTGCAAAGATTTGTAATCAACCATGGGTACTCTACTTAAAAATACCAAAAATGAAAACAGGAGRAATGAGGTGGGATTAACAGTTCTTACTAGACACTGCGTGCCTGGTTTTGCCCCTCAGAGATGCACAGGAATGTGTCCATGTCTGYAACATCTGAAGTGTGCCTGTAAATCATTAGACTATGTACTATGTACTATGTGTTGTCTTAGTGAGATCTCATCAAGCACCATCACTATCAGTCCTCCACCCTCGAGTCAAAGCAGCTGCCAAGAAGCCCTGTGTTTTTTCTACAAATTAAAAGGATCGTGTCTGCTTACGGTTGAAGATGAAGGAATTGTTTTTGTTATTGCTATTCCTGTTTCTTTACCAGTTATAAAATTTATTAATCTTATAAAGTTAATTAATTATTCTTAGTTTTTCCTAATCTCATCTCTTTTCTGGTAATATGACATTTTCTTCACTATTTCTAGGGACAATGAGAGAAAAAATAGGCAAATGCATATTTGTGGATTGGAAAAATTGTACTGGGGGTGCTGACAGCAGAATGTGCTGACAATATATAAGCATTCATAACATGTAAGTTCAAAGGTTAATTATCTACTTGGCCTAAATATTCTCTTACAGGCTCAGCCAAGGCTCAGAAAAGAGACGGTTATATAACATCTTGGTTAGACCTTTGTTCATTTAGTTCTGTAGAGTAATCAGCAAGACATATTTGCCTTTAAAAGGTCAGTTTATCTTTATTGTGCTGTGAATCATAGCTGCCTCTGAACTAATATAAAGCTTTCTGAAGATTTCTCAATGTTAAGGTTTTTTCATAAGTCTAAGCCACTCTCTGGAGGGTCTGCAACCTTAGCTAATTAAGACACAGGTTTCAAATCTCTCTGAAACTAGTGAGAGATAATGTACAGAACAAATAACAGTGTTTCAACTATAGTAATAAGAGAACATTCAGGTATATACTATCCTTTTGCAAACTTCATTAAGTCTTTAATCCACTTTGGAAATAAATGAGGTACTCCAGACTGTTATGAAACATGGAGTCATTCCTCCTATGATAGGAAAAAAATTTTTTTTTTATTAGTTCAAGACTATTTTTGTGTAAAATCATCTTATAAGTAACTGCTATTTCCAAATATAAGCGTGCAAAAGCTAGAGTATAAATTGTAAAATACCTACAGCAGTAGAATAACTGCTATCTCCAACTAAAGAGGAGGTAGGGAGAAAARATATATAAAATGAAAACAGACTGCTTATAATTATGACATATGTAATCTTTCTGAAATGACACACTATAAAATCAACTTCAAAGAGTCAGTCAGTTAAGTACCCAATTCTTTTGCACCTTTCATCTTGCAATGAAATGAAATATAATGTATAAATGATGATCACAGCAGAAATTTATATAGTGCCTTCAGCAATGGAACATACTGTGTGACTCACAGCTCTTTATTATGCACTACTGTTCCTGTGCAATTTTCTCATGAAGATTTCAAAACTCCCTCCAGATATTGATGATTAATCAAGAGGGATAACCCTCACACAGACATTATTACCTCTTATTTTCCCCTAGAACAATGCCTACCAGAAAGAGAGGTGACTAAATATTTATATCTGCATATGGGAGGCTTGCAGGGGTTACGAGCCTTTGCAATAAGGATTAAGGAATCCTTGTCTCAAAGGTAAGTGCTGTTGGTAGGGAGATGCACAGACCTGGCAGCACAGCAGTTTGGCTCCAACTACCCTTTCCCAAGATGGGTTTTGGTCCTTGTGGAAGCCTATGCCAAGAGAGCTGACTGGAGATTTTCTGCCAAAAGGATTTGCCAATGAAAAATAATCATAACAAAACATGTTGATTTCTCTTAAATTCTCTGTTACTGGAAAAATAAAATGAAAAGTTTCATTATAGGAAATTCTGCCCATAACTGATATACTGTGATTTCTGATCGCCAAAATGTTTCATTTTGGACACTTCAGTAAAAATTGAACTGCACTTCCCTAGCAGTCCTCTGATTTGTGGAAATCAGTGTAAGAGCTCCTATTTTCTGCTGCAGGCTAAATGTCCTCTAATCAAACAGACTGGGAGTATCTGCTCTGCGTTACTTCATATAACCAAAATGATGCATTTTGGTTTCAAGGGTATTTAAAACATTTTCACATTTTCATCCATATTGGAAAGAAAACAAACTTTTCAGGATTTCCAACAATTCAAAAATTTCAAAATTTTCCCTGCATATTGACCACACCTAACTTACTAATGCACTCACAGGAACTGAATCACTGCTCAGAACAGAGTAAAGCCTCCCTGCCCCAGGGTGCTGCCCTGCTCATTGACTCATAACTTCAAAACTAATTGCTCTCAAAGTCCAGGTGGGAGTGTGAAATGGATTTAGCTTTGTGAGCTGAACTCTCCTCCATGCATTTTCTTCCCAGATTAGCTGCAAAAAGAAATGAGCCCTGTTTTCTGAGTAAGACTCCAATGATTCTGATTCTTCATGAATATTCATATATAACTGTCACATACTACAACTTAACATTTGTATTAAGGTTATATTCTGCCTACCTGAAAGCCAGAGTTTAAACAGCACAAAGAGAAAATTAGCATTATAATTTATAGCTTATAACATAA